TAATGTTTAGTTAAGTTAGATCCAACGTTTCCAGTGACACTCAAACTCTTACAGAAATCTGCCTCCAACTTGCCTCTCCCGTGGTGTGCCTCTGATTTCCACTCACAACCATCCCAGGCAGTTGTTCACTTCTTCTAACCGTGTCTAAATCTTCACTTCCGCATATTTGCCAAGAACATTTCTCCTGAGCCCTTAGAAATTCTTGAACAATATCCTATTTATGTCATTAACTCTTAACAACTTGCCTAGGCAAGATAGTTAGCCAATGCTTGTGAGCTAGCCTGCGAGCTGAAACCCAGGAATAAGTTCATGAATGGTCAAAACATCTTTAGAATTATCTCCCTATTTGAAATTTCCCTGAATTCCCCCAAACAGTCAACATCTCAACTTTTTTCTAGGAAAAATTTAGGGACCATATCAGCATTTTTTTAACTCCTATGATATAATATGATTTATTGGCATTTTACACAATATAAAGATAACAATATACACTAAAGTGGCGATAATTGTTGGTGTTACCTTATGTTTGCATTTGCATGTATACATAATCACCTCCAAGACTATATCCTCTTGAAAGACACTGTACTTATGGTGAGGGTTTAATTAGGTGAATAAATATAAACTCCTAATACTAGTATCTTTCTCCAGTTTCTCAGAATGCTAGCCAAATGGGGGTGGGTAAGATAAGAATGCAGATATCACACATCTATGTCTTGTGTGAGGCTCTCAGGTATTCTTAAATACTAAGATAATAACTGAGTTTAGTGACATTTGTCTCCTCTTTTATAAGAGCAGGTGCAACAAGCCTTCAGGGTCATGCTTCCTGCTGCTTTGCATTAAAGGAAGCCAGAATGGACCATTCAAGGAGGTAGCATATGTCTGCATTGTCATTTTCAGGGCAATTTTTTAGCTCTTACCCTAATGACTTTACTGCATAAACAACATTTAATAAGTTTTAGTGGGTGATAAGTAAGTATGTAAATGTGTGCGGTCAGTCTTGGGAACCTCGATACTTTAAGGATGTTAAGTTTGGGAAACAGCTTGCTATGTACCTTAAGCACAGGAAGCCTGCTCGTATTAGTCTTTCTTAGCTATTTCATTTTCCCTGAATTATAAGCCCCAACGAGACAACTGATTTTGGGAGCGATAAACAATGCATTATGCTGTACAGTATTTTTAGAATAATGTTGTGAGAGAGTCATTGATCAAAGTAGATAATGATTTTGGTACAAAAATGAAAATAAAGACTTTTATATTTCAGGAAATATTTACGTATTTTACACTTACAGTGCATTTATATTTGCCTTTTATCCTTAGCTTTTTGTCCCAGAAGCAATAATATAATCTTTTACCTATTTTCCCTAAGTTATCAAATATTTTATCTGTTCACCATATTTGCATTGTTTTTAAATATTTATCAGTAAATGTAACATGCTCCTTATTAGATTTTATTACTTTCACCTCTTTTCCCATTGTATCCACAAGTTAAGAGAAAGGAACATTAGGACATATTCTTGATGTACTACTTAAATGCAGATTTTCTTACTAAAGATGTCTAAATTTTAGGGTTAAAGGATGGACTTCTACTCATTAATTCTCATTAATTTCAGCTTTATTTTAATGATTATAATTATGTTTTATTCATGGGTAATGAATCATTTTCCAAGGTAAACATGAAGGTTAATTTTGAATGATTTGAAAAACATATATCTGGCTTTTACATATTAATTTTTACCATATGGGTTATTTTATTTTTGAATAATGCATGTAGTTATGCATGTTGTAATGATGAATTTAGTTTATACACATTCTGTTTATTCTTAGCATACTTAACTTTCTCTGTAAATGAAGACAGCAATAACATTGTCACAAATATATAATTAGACCCCTAGAATTTAAAAGCTTATTTGTTTCTTGGTGTTTATCTGGAATAACCTATTTCTTAAACTATTTTCTACAGTATGGAAGTATGCTTTCTTTTTAAGCTCTTATTATAAAACTTTATTAAGTGGTTCATTAATAAACCTCTTCTTAAGTAAACAGAAATAGCCATGGGTTAAAAAAGAGAAGGAATTAATTCCCTTTAAGTAAATTTCTGTGGTGACAATTAGGCCAAATTATTAGGGACAGAAAGCCAAGGCCACTCACTTTTCACCTGAGAGTTTCTAAATTCTCACTTTGAATCACAGCAGAAATTCTGACAGTTTTCTATGAGGATTAAAAAATTGTTCAGGACGTGCTGAGGGAGTTATAGATCTCTGCCTTAGCTCCAGTTTTTTCTTAAAGATTTTTTTTTGTCTCACTTAGATCATCCCTTTTATTTTTGAATTTCTCTAAATAGGAAAGTTTATGTCAATTTTCTTCTTCCTTGTACCTCTAGCCAGAAGCCACTGGTGGTTTTGACCTCAGCACCCTTTGGCCTCAGCAACTCTTAGCATCAAGGAACCCTAGATTTGGCAGTGACTGAACTCAGCCAAAATCACTCTGGTGTTGCTCCCCTTGGCTCTGAGAGAGGCTTCCTTTAAAATGTTATATGTGATGTTGTCTCCCCTTAACTTTTTCCATCTCATAACATTTTCCCATATCTTATCTATGTGATCATGCTCTAAATTAATTCAAATACAGATCTGTTATTCAGATTCATTTTGGAGATTAAAGACTATAGGGCTGATGATTTAAGTTACAGTAATAACTTCTGTAGACGACCTTGGTTTCATTAAATAAAACACACAATTCGTAACTTTCAGATAAATAATTCTTAGCCAAACCCTCGCTGTCATATTCCAAACAGCAATTAATTCCACCTTATATTTCTTTTCTTTTTTACTCTCATTTAAAATTTTCCTTATTTTCTAATTATATTCTGTAAACGAGGCAAGAGCTATATTGTTTCTCAGATTGTTCTTTAATGTCTCTGTAGCTCACTCTAAAGACATTTTATATGAATAAGTTTCTTGTCATAAATCTATGAAAACTCTAATCAGCTTATAATAAAGAAAAACATCTCAGATATTTCTAATGTAATAAATTACACAGTACATTTCTCAGCATCTTCATTTACATTAAAAACAGTTAAAGTAAATACCTTACCCCAAAAGTTTTCTGGCCATGAAAGCTCTAAACTTGTTGTGTTATTAGCCATAATATCCACAAGAAAGACCAAGACAGAAAGAAAAGCCAATATGTCCAAAAGAAGCAGTTTGATTCCAGTTTGTCTTTGTAGTTCAGCAAAATAATTTTCACACAACCCCTCATATACTTGTGTTTGCATTAAAGGAAATAAGTGTATCATGTTTCCTGCTTTTATACTCAAATTAGCAACTGTTTTTCTTATCTTGGAGTTCCACATGGGTCCCGAGACACAAAACTATTTCCTTCTCGTCATTTCCTCGGCTAAGCTAGGGACCTCCTCCCAGACACCTCCAAAGCTGCACTAGAACAGAGGTTCTCTCTGCTGGTATTTCCCCATCCCCTACTGACGGACACAGAGACAAATGCTCAGCTATAGACTTTGGATAAAGTATGCAGCGTTGCAAATAGACTGATGTTCAAAGTTTGAAAATTGTATTTATATAGTGAATGGGGAATAAGGGGGCTATTCAGAATTTCATACTCTGTCAAATGCAATTACCCTTTGTTTAAGAATATCAGTTGTCGCCGGGCGTGGTGGCGCATGCCTGTAATTCCAGCATTCAGGAGGCTGAGGCAGGAGGATCGTTGCTAGTTCAAGGCCAACCTGGGCTACAAAGTGAACTCAAAGAGAGCCTGAACTGCATAGCGAGACCGTCTCAAAAAAAAGACAAAAAAAAAAAGGAGAATATCAGTAGTTTATTAAAATTCTTATTATTTCTATTTCTTATTTCCTATATTGTTTGAAAAAGTATGTAATTAATTTCATAAATATTTGAGGATAGCTTATATGTAGTTTTATGACCTTTTTAATTGGTATTTAAATATGAAAAAGAGTTTTTACACTGACAAAATCCATTTAAATCAAAAAGGGGAAATATAAATGCAACTCTTTCAATTACAAATGATCAGAGGGACTTGTTACTCAGGGAGAAGTCTGAGAACATTAATATAAGACGGCTTCATGAAACTTTTCTGAGGATGTAGGCCAGTTAAAATTTCTAGTCTTTGTCCTTGACATTTACTAGTTTAGATTGGGTCATCTGAACATTTTAGACTATTTCAAGTGAGACTGGGAGTCCAAATTGCACTAAACAACTACACAAAAAGGTGTTCGGTGATCCATTTTTCTTAATTTTTGAAAAGCTCTAGCATGATCTGTTGCACAGACCTGCTGTCCCCAACATACGGTTTAAAGTGAGGCAGGAATCACCTTTGTGAAATCTGTAACATATTCTTGAGACGTTCTGGGCATTCAGAAACAAAATGATTTTTCACTTATCCTAACTTATACAGTCCTAATTCTTCAAAAGCACAGTTGTTTCTGCTTAGCTTGTCCATTTGTATGGAAAACTCTGCATTTATTGGAAATTAAAATGTACACAAGTGACAACCTAAAATAGAGCATGAGAATGTAATAGAAAATTTAGGAAATATGCTGTGCAAATATGAGAGCTTACCTGTACGATATTTTTCCTAAAGTTTGTTTCTACATAATCTGCTAAGTAATCATATCATTAGTTAAGAAAGGCAAAAGGGTTCATAGTACAGTTACCTCCACTTTTAGTATTATTGACAAGGTTTACAAAAATAAAAAATGTAAAGCATGTTATTTCTGAAAAAATATAATCTAGATTATATTTTGTATATTGAATAAACAGTATATTGAAATGGTATTCATTTACTTTTCTAAAAATATAAGTTAAGATTCTTCAATCACTGTTGTTTTTCTTTTTGTCTTTTTGAGATAGGGTCTCGCTATGCACTTCAGGCTGGCCTTGACCTCACTTTGTAGCCCAGGCTGGTCTCGAACTTGCAGCAATCCTCCTGCCTCAGCCTCCTGAGTTCTGGGATTACACGGGTGCGCCACCACACCCGGCACTATATGTATTTTTAAATATATATTTTGTATTATGAAAGAGTACCTAATTTTAATACATACTAATTTCAGAACTACATACAACTTCATAAAGAGCTATTCTAGCTGCACTTATGAGTGGAACAGAGAATTCTGGCTTTGTGTCAACTGTCCAGCCCACTCTACCTCGGGCTGGATGCAGGCTGAGATTTCCTTTCATTGTTTCATGTTTAGTCACCGAGATTTTCTACCAATAAATTTTCACTTCTGCAGATGGTGAAAACCCTAAAGGAAATGTGGTTTCTGTCAACTTATGACCAAGGTGTTTTTCTCTCTTTTGTTCAGAGCTGGCTGATAGCACTGGCAGTTATCTGTGCATGTAATTTGCTTGGTAAGGATTCATACTTTCCCCTGGCATAGATCCATATAAGCGAGTGTTTATGTCTATGTGATGTTCAAGTCCTGTGACTTACCATACCATAACAGGAAGTTGATTTTCATCTTTACAAAATATTAGGTCAATTTTTCTGTTGTTCATTATCTATTAACTTAGGGCTCCAGTTCTCATAAAATATGCATGAAGATTTGTTTTTAACTTAGATATTCATAGAACTTATTATCTTCACTCAGGTCTCTGCCCAGAAGTCATCTCCTCAAGGGGAGACATTCACAAACCACCTGGTCTAATACGTTCCCACAACTACTCTTTCTTGCTTGACTCTATGTTACTGCCCTCTTCAGAGCACTTATCACCCCCTGACATTATGCTATCCATATCTGTTAGTATTTTCTAGTTACTACAGCAAAATACCACCAGCTACATGGCTTTCCAATAATAGATACTTATTTCTTACAGACTAGAGGCTGAAAAGTCAAAGCTCAAAGCCTTGGGAGACTCAGTTTCTATAGAGGTCTGGCTTCCTGAAAGACAGCCATCTTATCCCTCTGTGGATAGAAGAGTTGCTCTCAGGCGCCTTTATAAGAACACTAATTCTATTTATGACCTATGGCTTTCCTATGGTCACCCCATGACTCTTTCTCCAAATACCATCATTTTGGAAGGTAAGGATTTCCACCTGTGAATTTTTGGGAGACATAAATATTCAGACTATACCAACAAGCTTTGCTTTTTTTTTTTTTTTTTAACTGGAAATCAGTTTTATGTGGATGGAAGCTGATGTGATTTGGGTAGGATTTCAGTGTGTCCCCCAAAGTTCACATGTTGAAAGCTTGGTTTCCAGTGTGACAGTGCTGAAATTGAAGAACATTTAAGAAGTGGGGCTTAGTGGAAGGTGACAAGGTCATGTGGTCTCCAGCATCATACATAGATTAATTCTGGTCTCACAGAGTAGGTAATTCTTCCTAGGAGTGAGGTAGCTCTCATGAGAATGAAGTACTTTAAAAAGAGCAAGACTGGTCCTTCTCCTTCTGTCTCAGAATGTGATCTTCTCCACATGTGTTCCCACTACTATGATGCCACCAGCCATGAAGTCCTCAACAGAACCAAACAGATGTGGATGCCATGTTCTTTACTCTCCAGAACTGTGAGTTAAATAAGCATCTTACCTTTACAGTCTACTCAGTCTTAAGTAGTTTATTATACCTGTACCAAACCATCCAAGAGAGGAACTTTATGGATTCCTCTCCATCTGTACCTCTACAATAGCACCTGGTCAACAGTGGAGTCTTTCAAAATATTTATTTCATAAGGGAATGTAGTGATTTGAGGACAGCATAAGATGAAAGTACTTTGAACATTTCAAATCAGGTTAATAAAAAAATCACCTAACACTTAAAAACAAAAGTTAAAAATTCCTATTCATAGCCATTTCAATATTTTTATATCCTGACTTATAACTTGATACAGTCAAGTGATACAAAAGAACAATGTCTCATTTCAGGGAAGACATAAAACCAAATTAGAACTTCCATTTTTAGCTTTATATTAAAACTGAATTTTCTTTCTCTCATATTAAACTGATCAAAGAATTTCACTGAATTCTGAGTACTAAATTCTAAGAAATAATAAGCTCATACAACAGTGAAAAATTTGTCTATTTGAAAAAAACTTGTTTTAAAGAAACCTGAAAAATGGATTAAAATGTAAGCCTATTATTTTAACATGTTGATGTCTTTTCTGTTTATATGATATAAAAGTGGTTTTTATTTCTTCTACTTAGATTCATTTACTTTGATAAGGAGATAAGAAAAATCAAATAATAGAGATCAGGTTATATATGCAAAAATTGAATTGTTTACCCTTCTTTACGACTGAGTAGAAGCCCATAGTGTAAAAAAAAAAAAAAAAAAACCCACATATTTTTTATGCATTCTTCGGTTGATGGGCATTTGGGTTGTTTCCAAGATCTAGCTATTACAAACTGTGCTGCTGTAAACATGGACGCACATATATCGCGATGGGATGATGTTTTTAATTCTTCTGGGAAGATACCCAGGAGGGGAACAGCTGGATTAAATGGGACCTTTAATCCTATTTTTTTTGAGGAATCTCCACACTTACTTCCACAGTGGTTGTACCAGTCCACACTCTCACCGACAGTGGAGAAGGGTTCCTTTTTCCCCGAAGCCCCACCAGCATTTGTTATTGGTTGATTTCTTGATAATAGCCATTCTTTCTAGAGTGAGATGAAATCTTAGCATTGTTTCAGTTTGGATCTCTCAAGTGACCAGTGATAGCTTAACGCAGGGTTTGGGGCTTACTTTCTCCTTCTGAGTTGGGCCACCCCAGGTTTTCTTTGGGAATTCTAATTCCCAAAACTATGAATTCCTATTTTCAGCATTTGCTCCCAAGAAAGTGTCACTTTAAAGTTTGTTTCTTTCTCCAGTTTTAATCTTATATTGCTTGTTCTGTTGATCATTACTTGTCTGTCTTTGTTTTTGCCTTTGGCTACGCCTGTTTTTTACTTCCTAGAGAGCTCAAAAATTCATTTAAGAGTAGTGATTTTATTTTTATCCTCAAAGAAATGTTAATTGATTTAGGGGCAAAAAGAATGAAGATAGCTCATGTATGGGGGAGATGATGGAAATTTCACTTCAGACTTTTCCTTTTTGTCTGCAGAACGGAAAATAGATTGAGGAGGTTAGCTGAAGAAAGTGGCTAGCTCAAGATGGCATTGCAGTAATCCAGAAAAACTAGTGTGCTCACTTTTTCTAAATGTGGTAGTAGAGCTGTAGAACACAGATTGATGAAACATTAAGGAGATAAACATGCTCCAATATAGTTGAGGCTGGACGAAATTTGAAGACTAAGATTACTGCATATA